TTTGAGTTTTGGCACGTGCTTCGTTCAGGTGACTGATCTGTCTTTTAATCTGTCCCACAAGCTTCATTATCTCTATCTGCCTTCCCATCTTGGAGCCTTTTTGATGGGTCTTCCGAAGTAACTCCAGAAACTGACAAAAGTCTGTCAGCCCTGGCTCAAATTCTGTTCAGGGCAACGCATCAAATCAAGTGTCAATTCAAACAGCTTGAAATATATTGAATAATTTCGTTGATGGAAGTTGGAAACCCCCCTAATGAAAGCTTGTTGATTTTTCTTGGGAATACTTTGAAAGTCCTCGCTGTGAAATAGTCGCGGTTTTTCAGTGAATACATCCTTGGATCAAATGAACCAGGAGAGATATTCGTGTACCAATGACAAATACATGTGCTACATGAAGTCTACTTGGGAGCGAGAAAGAGGCAGTTTAACGGTTTATGTCACCAGAAAGGATACAGGAAGACTTGTTCAAGTAAGGAATCTGAGCGTTCGCAAACTTGTTGGCGAAGACAAGTTAGGAGAAACAATACTGTAATATTATGAGTTTGTGGGGAGGAAATGTTGATGTTTAGTAAGCTGCTTAACATCCAGAAACTGGAAAATTTATGCATTTATTCGCCGAAAGCCCAAACACTTGCGTTCTACTTGCTCGGTCATACTGTCACTATCATAGAGGAAGATTCCAGAACAATCAGCGGACTGTAAACACCAAGCCAGATAATTTCGCAGTCGCTTTCAGCAGTGAGCCTGTTTTCCTGTAACATTCCGACGGGTGTACCGATGTTCATTTGTTCAAACAGTTCATTTACGTCATCTGTGTTTTGAAGCATTAAACGGACATTACAAGAACCTATTGATGATGCTTACATTTTGTCGATATTTTTCGCCTGAGTAACGATAGCTGGTACGATGCCTTTCCTGCGTTCGAAATGCTTCAGAAACGATTTATTACGTAACAGCCAAGTTTACCAATTGAATAAAACACACATTAAGTCATCAAAAAATCACGATTGCGTATCTCTAGCAATCATTAATAACTGGTCTAAACTCAATCGGGTATGACGCGCACAACCGTGTAAAATAAAACCTTACATTTTCAGAAGTACGGACTAAGGTTCTCGTTAATTCCAAAAATGTGATTGTTATAAATGAAATTTTCGCTTTGATCTGCCTTGGTAAAAATTATGGGAGATCGACAGTTGAATTTCAAAAGTGATTTTACTATCGCCAAGGTCAATGATACTTTGATTTTCACCTAGTTGAGGAATGTGGCACAATGTTTGCAGCAAAGCCTTCATCAGAGCTAAATCCACCTTCCTGTGCAGTATAGATAGATAGATAGATAGATAGATTAATAGATAGATAGACAGCAGGATAGTTAACTGGTTGGCTGACTGCCAGCTTCGTCAATTGATCAAGCGATTGATTATTTGGCTGATGATAGGTGACTCAGCTGTTGAAAACATTTTCTTGACGCACCATAGCTATATTGTCCTTCTCAACTGCAAATGTCACAGCAAAGACGAGACCCGTAAAATGTCTAGTGGCAAGACTGAACCAGTATTATTAACGTTGTAAATCAACTTTGCATTAACAACCACGACAGGGAACAGGGCGTTGTTTGTGTGAAAGTTCTGCTGTTCTAATTCGGTGCGGACCACGTCAAAAGTGTCAGCATATGTAAGAAATATTATAGAATCCGCCTGGTCTTCCCTAGACAAGTTGCCACTTCAAGTACAACATGAGAAACATTCAGCTCTTCACGATGCATGAAGATGCTTCAAGGAGATTGGGGTGAGAAAGACTAGACTAGAATATATTTTTTAAACTGTTCCGCGGATATCGGATGATTTATGCAAAGAGCTAAACCCCATCAACAGCACTCATCTACAACCTGTTCAGGTGTCAGGATTCGCTTTAAAGCGTTTTTTATTGTTGTGTGCTCCATTTACCCAGTGGGTGTTGCCCTTAAAACTGCGTGACATACGTGCTGGTCTCCCAAGATATGAAATGCTAAATAAGTAGATTTTTTACAGAACGGTTGGCTACATGTCGCGAGTACTTTTCATCGAACTAGTACTATATTGTATAATGTATATGTATATAATGTGTATGTCGAAAATACTTTGGTTAATGTGTACCTGCAACTGATAGTAATACAGACTTATCGTTATTGCCATCTTTTGGTGGCAACCAGTAATGTAGTCTCTAAAATTGTCACTCATTCGTGCAAGGCTAAACTGACAGTACGAACCCACTTGTGTCTGCGTGACGTGTGGAATCATCGCTGTTGGCATCCCATCAGAGAGCTGACGGGTAAATCAAGATGATGTGCAATTCTGTTGCAGTGTTTTCTCTTGGGGCCGTTGTAAACAATTTCGGAAGCTAGAAAACTTTTGCTTGCTTTCTCGAGTGCGGTGCTTCTGGATCAAAATGTGAGTTTAAGGGGTGTCGGCTGTTAAAGATATTGTGATGAGCGAAAGTATTTTTTTGTATCCAAATGAATGAAGCATAGTGTATTTCAAGGGCTTCTCATCCTTTGTATCCCAAAATATATTTGGGGGGATTGGGAATGTGAGTCGTATACAATAGTGGTTTTTCGCCAAATAAAGCTGTTAGCTATTTCGAGAAGAATGTTGAATTGACCTCTTGAAGCTTTCAGAGGGGATTGCTTTGACAGTTTTTTGTAAAAGATAGTGTTTTGTCCGTTTTATCTTGTATAACACAAGGCCATACAAACCCTTGAAATGCCGTCAGAAGTTTGAGTAAAAGCTGTTGAAACACATTTGTTATCCACTCAATTTTTCCATGGCCACTGAACCGACGTGCTCACAGTCGAAATAGTCTGGATGTTCGTAGGCTGGAGAGAATATAGCAACTAACGTGTACCTTAATAAAACCCCGCGCCGTTATCGACGATCATGTTAGTTAAGCATCGAGTGATTTTCCATTGGTGAGAAAAAGACATCTGTTCTTCCGTCAGCTGTGTGATGCTCAATGTTTTTCAACATTCGCTGATACCTTGCTGTATGTTCATTCAAAAAGAATTGACACTTTTGCACATAATCCCGTCGTTTTGCTTATAAACTGGTGAATGTATACAAAACGTTCATTGTTTTGAGAGCTGATTTCATCCTGTTAACTTAAAGATTTTTTTCTGCGATCGCCAGTCTGAAAACATTGGTTTTTATCTTCAAATATGAATGAACTTCACGGCGTTTAATTAAAGGATAATTGTAAATCTACTGTACGATATTACAGTTACACAATATACGCCAAATATTTGCTTTGAGAAGTTTCACTATTATACTATTGTCTTTGTGTTGCAGAAGCACATGGAAGTATAAATTGCACTAATTATACTCAGTAATTTAATTGTGCGCAGTAAAAAAGGTCGATATTGCTGGAACGGTGAAAGACTAGAAATGTTAAGCAGGAAGGCGTGCAGCAGTTCGAGTGGAACAGATTCAAGACAAATGTGCAACTCCGAGAATCTAAGCCATATTTTGAGGAATGGATTTTTTTGTTGATATCTTTACGCTGAAAATATACCCTTCCCCCGGAAATAAAAAACTGACACACTTAAAATCCAGAGTACGGGCGCGACATTTATTAATTTGCAGGAGACTTCCAAAACTCAAGTCGTTCATATGCCGTAATATATTGGTCGTGCTTTACACGTCTCCTCTCCTTCTGCTTATCGAATGTTCACGAACTACTCAAAAGGCTGGATAACGCAGTGCCACGTGACCCCCTTGAACAAATACGGGCACTTTGAATGCTATAATAAATGAACTTATTTTGGGATTTTGTTGGTTCCTGATCGCGACTAATGCACGTTACGTGTAACCATGGGTCTATTTGAGTCTCACTTAAAATCTCACCCCGATTCCATTTAAACGGATAAAAATTTTGCGGCTTTGCTTGCCACTGCTTTCACATACCGATGGCAGACGAATTTGTAAACTCAATTAGAGGCCGATGTGTTTTAGTTTCAGTAAAAATGCAAGATCTACCTGCGGGACAGATGAGAATACAAGAGGGCCTGTTGATTACATCTAAACAGTAGCATCTTTGAGTGTAAACGCTGGTATTACCTCATAGTCCCTCATTAATCTAAAACAGAACTGTTTCTCTAGGGAGATTCATGAACTCTCATGTTGAAGCCCACGTACATCGAAATTCAGGGTTAACCAGAACAAACAAATGGTAAGAATTGGGGTACCTGAACAAACCAGTTGGAGAAAACAGGATAGAGTCTGATAATATTCAAAAAAATAACATCGGAGACCCTGTCAATTCATAGAGGCTCATGCTAAATTCCCTTATTATAAACAGGTCTGTGGTTCCGTTGTCTGAATCACTTCATGGAGTCCATAGAACATGTTATAAAGCACTGTGTCACCCACTGTGTCGCACCTTCGACCTATTCATAAAAATTGCCACTGAAATAAAATGGTGTTTTTGCGCAGCATATGCAAACATTTAAGATGAGTTCCTAGAAAAACCACTTATCAGTTCTATCAGGGTTTTTCATAAATGGCAAAGTCACACAATCAAACAGACTTAAGGGAACAAGATGTTCGGCGGATTTTTTCAACAAAGCCTAAATTTTCCATCTGTCTATGTACCTCCAGGTTTAATATGCTGGATTCGGGCAATCTGACCATGTGTTTAGTTAATTTGTGAAGTGATGCCGCAAACATATATGTAACTTGTCTGAGTGTGACGCTGTTTCCGTGAAATTTGCAGACACCACAATATATTTAGCCTGAAAGACTAGTAGCGGTAAGATGTGTCAGGCAGACCACCCGATCGCAGCCATTGTTATTCTCGTGCTATTAGCATACTATTCTATTTTCATCCTTGTCGTGGCCTACGTTTGTCTACGGACAAACGACCATTGTTCTCATAAATGGATGACTAATTTTCGGCAAACTACTGAGCATTCATTGCAACCGTCTTCAGTCATCTGTCCGGTTGTTCGATGCCGTCCGCATCAGCTATCCACCTGGCACGTAGAAATATGCACCATACAGAAGCTCTGGAGCGCGATACCATCTGAAATGATGGAATACTTTCGAGATGAAGTTACCTCGTGGCAACCTGATGACTGTAAAGCCTTTCTTTCGTGTTTTGGAAGAGCCTGGCCAGTCCAAAGTCTGCGATTTTTAGGAGGCCACTTGAAGAGATGAGCAAATTGGCAGGCTTCAGGTCCTTAAAAAGAAATCATGGAGGGATAAGGTAAGTTGCTGGACATGGGTTAAGAAAAGACGGACTAAAATATTCCTCCAAATAGCTATGGAACTGTTTCGAAACTTTAATAAAGGATAGCGTCTTTGCACACGGAAACAATGCTCTGGGATGAAATTCGACCCGGGAAACTATTCGGCAGACACTGAAACAAGAATGCCTACACAAGAACAAACAAATCTACCAAAGATCAGTCCTGCTTTACAACGTGTGGAAGCGATGGCAAAACACGAAATCCTGACATATGATGTGCCTTCGGTACACCGTGCCAGATAAAAAAAACCGGTACTTCACATTTTCATCCCAAATCAATCTCAAACAGCGCAACTCATTTCATACTGACAGAGTGCGGGAAATGGACATGATATCTGAAAAAAGACGGAGTACCTTATCCGTGGATGTTTGTCAGTATAGTGTCAGAGAGAGGAAACGTCCCTTCCACCAATGAAACACTTCTGAAGTAAACTAAGGCGATAGCTTGCTTCCAGCACACTGCGTTTGCTGCAGACTTGCTGTGCCACAAAAACAAAAAAACATTCGACTATGGTACATTTTCTGTGCAACCCGAAGAAAGCACTACGGCACAGATAGTGCAGGGTATCAACACCTAGACAGGACCAATCGGAAAGTTAGTGTTGGACCAAACCTATCGCCCAAAATGCAGAGTTCCCACAGTGTTGATTGGCTTCTTGACGGTTGTATGCGAGTGTGCTCACAAGAAACGATCAGTCACTGAGTGTATGGGAAGCGCGGGGAACCCTAACAATCGGGCGTATATATATATATATATATATATAGAAAAAGTAAATAAAAACGCTTTGAAAGTGAGACGGTGCGAAATCGGGAAATAATTGGAAGATTCGATGCCCGGCTTTAAAAGTTACGTTGACCCTGATCCCACTTTGCATTAAAACTTCAGTACTCACCTAATGAATAAACCTCTGTCGGTCCGCATGTTTTGATTTCAGAGATTTTGTCTGTCACAGGAGTGGAATTCTAGACCAGAAAAATCCTATTTTTAGGATGTTGGGAAAAATAGCTTTCCTCCTCTACTCCACATCGTGCTAACAATAGAATATGCAGCCTCCAATTTCCTCTATGCTAAATTAACACTCTGTAATGTTTGTGTGCTTTAAACATAGTGGATTGTAGGAAAATATTCACTCCTCAGATGCATTGTGAGAGGCCTGTACATTACCGATCACTTAGGATGCCCAGAACTTTTCTCTAAGCACAACCATGGGCCATCTGTGACAAACAGGACGGCCCATCTAAACAAATTGGCCAAAAATATCCTAACTAGCAGATTTTGTGTCATTCCACCCACTGCAAGTTAAGGCATCACCGTACTCTCACGGTTTTTCCGTAATCAGTGATAACCAAAGCCCCGAGTCATTCTTAGAATTACCTATATAAGTTATTCCGTCGTTTTTTTCGGGAGTGGGCTCATTGCTGATTGCTAGCGACGAATAAAACGCCCATCCTTGTGACCTTCGGCAAACATCGGCCAAATTCGTGGACATCGCAAATGCTGAGTGCAGCTTGTTAGTCCGTGGGAGTAATCTTTGTAGCACTCTGGAAGTTTAAACAATCCACTTTATCATCATTATCATCATCAAAATCATCGTTATGATTGGCGGCATGATATCAGTGTTCAATACTGATTATTTGCTACTTTTAAACCACGCGGAATCATTCTCAAAAGGTTCAGTTCACATGTCATTATTCCAGCGGAAGATTTTCTTGAATATACCTGTTCAAAGTGTGAGTTTTCTGTAAGATGTTGAGTGGACAAGAATGAAGCGTCCCTCTGAAATCGCTAGCTGATAGTTTTTTTATCACCAAGCTTTGGTTCAGCCTTCACCTGTAAATGTGTTGAAATTTCTGACAACAAAACAGGACCCTATGTAAATAAGACAATAAACTGTGTTAAAACTTGGGTACACTATATCAAAACATTTGAGAAATAAGTGATCGCAAAGTAAAATTAGGACCAACAACTAATTGAGGTATGCCTACGTGAAAGTGAAGACACTGTGTACCTTTACAAATGTCGACCACACATTATCTTCAGTAGTGTAGCACTGGAGTGCCCATCTGAAAGGATGTGGTACTCATTTTACATTAAGATGCAAAGCGGATCTCCCGGGGCCCCAAAACTAGTTGTCGAAAGATCGAATTCAATGCGAGCCACACGTCATTAGTTATTGATGTACCAAAAATACTCGGCTATGATGGAAGGCAGTGAGAATAGCTAAATGCATTGTACACCAAACATCTTTTTCTGAGTGTATTACAATACGGTGCACTGGTTTTGTCGTATCGTTAATTCTGACAGAAAATGGCTAGCTTGCAATAATGGCCCTCTAATGTAGACCTAAATGCCGACCACTGTGCCGTAGACAAGCGTACCATCATGATGAAACTCCATTGACAAATTCATTGATCTGTATGGCAATCTGGTCCATGCAAAGCACGCTCACACATGCTTGGTGACGTACGGTGCAAAAAAAACGGGAAAGTCTGAAAATAGATGCTTGAAGTTTTGGTTAAAAACAAAATTTCCTTGAACCAAGCTTCATATCGTGCTACAATGTTTCATTACTTAAATTAATTACTCAATATCATTTTGCGACTGCTCGTTATCTTGTGAAGTGTCCCTGCGATCTCTTTGAACCCAGCCCAACAACAGAATGTGTTTTTGGGAAAGGCTCAATAGATACTTGTGCCGCTTTCAATAACTCAGCGCAAATGGCAAGCACATTTTGTGCTCAGAATCTAAGACCACAGGAAAAACCTTCTTTAAACATTCCTTCTCCAATTTCCTTATTCACAATTTTTCGCTTCATTAGTTCCTGTCAGCTTGGTTACCAGTTGGGTGAAAGCTCTTGAGAAGGATTCATAATTAATAGTTAGATTTAGCGGAAGGGTTGTAAAAGTATTTCATCAACCCATGGAATACGGTAGGAATTTTGTGCCTCTAGTCAAGAACAAATTTAGAACTAATAGTTAAGGGTTAGAGTCAAACAGACGTTTTGATATAATTCGGCTTTAATTTCACCACGTTTTCTGCTTTCTTTTCGATATTAACACGTTACGCAGAGTCAAGAAATAAATAAAAAGAAGGGCGAGATCAAAGATGGAATTGGTTGCATAATTCTGTGCGCGGCCGCATTTCGAAATCATTAAAGAGAGGAGGATGAAAGATATGAAAATAAAAACAATTGTAGGTAATAATAGTCAACGTGAAAGACTAGCTGCAAAGATACCAGGTCGTATCAACTGCGATTTTTTTCACATGCAAGCAGTGTGTCAATAATTCTCCCATAAATATCCTGTGCTGTCCGACTCCAAGTATTTGAAACAGAGGGATTCACCAAAGAGTATGGGCATGACTTCCTAAGTAAGGCAAGCTGTTTCAGAAAACGTTTCGTTGTTTTAAGGTTTTACGCTTGGTCTATCCGTAGGCTTATAAAAATACATTTGCACACAAGTTATTCAAGTTGATGATAAAACATCGTAGAGCTCCGCTTGCAGGAATTAAACAAGCCATTTGTAAAAAATACGTATAAAAATCATTTCTGAGTTAAATGCGAGGGCATGGCAGCTGTTGCTTTGCAATACAATGTACTGGTACGCACGCATCCATTTTTGATGAACGAGAATTCACCATACTTCCACCGCTAAAGACCGCTGCTCGAAAAGACTAGATGAGTTTCTCTAAAAATGCTGCAGCCGGTTGTCGGAAACTAGAACTTCTTTGTCCAATAAACTAGCTGTGTAGTACCGGTTTCTGGAAATATTGAAAAGTCAGCGGCTTCGGTTTGCTACATTCAACAAAAGTCTTGCAACAATTGGCGTGAGTGTGCGGTAAAATATGTATATTTTCCACTAAATTAACTCCTATTGGTGTGTACCGAAGACTGTTGAGGTGTCTGCTTGTAAACGTTTCCATTGTAGTCATCAGACCACCAGCGTGCCAGCACTTGCCAAATGTTTCGCGTAGTCATTGGCGTCCTTAGAGAGTCTGTTCTTAGTTTTTTGTTGAGTCGTTTCTTCTGAAAACTGAAATGTTATATTAGAAAGTGTAAAATTCCAACAAGCTAGCGCCTGGTTGCAGATTCCCTTTTATATTATCGCTTCGCATGCTACGGACAATTTCGACAAGTCTCTCCAGTGGTCCCTAAAGATCGCGTATAAAAAGTATACTTTTAGGACTTCAATTGATACAACAAGATATGAATACACTCACGAGATGTGTTCGGCGACCACTTTGAAGGCGAATTTTTGTGAACCCGAAACCACGTGCTGCACTCGGAAGTCAGTCATGTTAACTAAAGGGAACCGGAGCTCATCTGAGGGTTGTGTTTTAACAGGAAACCACTCCAGGATCTTCAAAAAGACGTAGCTTTTTTACTTCCATCCATATAATCTGTGGTGCAACAGGTACACATTTTGATTTATGACTCTGACGATTTTGTTTTTGCATCCAGGTCTAAGAACGCATTAGTTCTTGTGTTGGATGGTTAACCTGTTTTGTTTAGCGACCAAGAATGTCCTGTATAGGGTAATTGAGCTTGGTCGAGGATATTGAGATGTACAGAGCTGTTTTCATGATTTATGGGAAAAATGGGTCTGCATGGTGTAATCCACATCTGTCGTCCGCTAACGCCAAACAAATTGTATCAGTTTTTGTACGGCCCTCTCTGGCACAACTAGTCATTTCGGAGACCTGGATAGCATTTGCAAGCGCATAGTAATTGGAATGGCACATTTTTAAACAAAATTCCATGTTTAACGGCTTACCAAATTCACAAATTTAATAATATCGTAATTTCAGGATGTCGGGCTGTATTGGAGGAGTTTGATATATTAGTCTCTGAGGTAGTCTACGTAGGCATTCTATCTACATATAGGCATGCGCATGTGGTTCCATCCGTTACCTCTGTTTTTCCCCTATAGAACGTGGACTCAGACACCCTGTTATTCTACTTTAAATGCTCGATTATTATCATTCTTTGCTTACAGTTCTCTAATTTCATCAACTTTGGTGTCAACTAATCATTTCAATATAGTATAGCTTACCAAGGAATGTCAGAGTTTTGAAATGAAATTGTGCTGTTGGTTTAAGTACTTTACTACATTTGGACTCGCGGAACAAGCCGACGAATTTCAACTTTCGCTGAGTAGAACTTAGCCTACAAAAACGATTAACTGGTTTCATGAAGTTCAGAAGCGGATCCGGTGTTCGGAGCTGACCCAATTTACATGTGACTGGCCATAAGTGGTATTTTAAGGTCGCCAGCATTAGACAAAAATAGAAATAATTCGAAGGAATTCGTGTTTGATGGAAGGTTCGATGGAAGTTTCTGATGGAAGCTTACTTTCTGATTGCATTGACTGCACCCAACCTTGTCACTGAATCAGTTCGGTATCACTCTTTTACACGTGCATAGGTGATGCCTTTGGCAGCAAACTGAAATAAATGATCTGCTCATTACCGACCATTCAGCCGGGCTAGCCGTTGTGAATCCGTGTTTGGTTGCCTACTGGAAGAAAACCGTTCTAAAAGTACACATTTCAACTGACAGGAACATCTAGTAGCCTAACGAGCGGAAAGATTAGTTTTACTCTTGATTTAAGTTGAAGGTGTCAACAAATTACCCTGGCCGTATAATCAGGAATTTCTCGGAGCAACTAGAGCTGATTTGGTGAATAGCGTATTTCGCACGCCGTTTTGTTAGTGCAACCATCGCTGCGATCGTTCAGTCATCATCCGGCAGAAAAGGGACTTTGATGATCCTGTTCATCTTAATGCTGAATGTTTGTCAAACACCAGAGGATACAATGATAACCTTTTCTCAACTTTTACCAAGTAGTTAGATATTGTTTTTTAAGGGCAAGTGATATACGTTACGGCTGGTTTCAAGACTACTTTGAGCTATGTATTGAGTATGCACAAAGCTCACTTCTCTACGATTTGCTGCCTTTCATCATTCTGTGAATAGCACTAGTTAGTTTCAGAACAGTCTTCCTAGTTGTATTTAAAACCAGACCAAATAATCTGCAACAGCTATAAACTGAATACGCTAGGGAATCGCATTTAGCGAACAAACAAAAGCCCTTATCCAAACAAAGAATAAGGACAGTACAAGTGGTCTCAGATAAAAGTCTAGTAGTACTTGGTTAAAATGCAAGTGAAAGCTACCAAAAATTTTCCCGCTTCAAGTGAGAACAACTATAACTTAATTCTGGTTGTATTTTGGATAGAATTTCCGTTAAGATATGACAGTAACTGGATGAGGGTAAATCATTTTGTCACACAACTAGTACCCACAATTTGTAAACCTAACCTACCCTGTAAGATTCTGTAAATGCCTCCCAACTCAGGCCAACCCAATAGTTGATTTTTTTCTAAAAGTTCCTGAAACGGGCGGTTGTTTCGTTAAATTGTCCTCTCCGAGGCACTTAAGTGTACAATACGGTGTTCCCTTGCGAGCGGTGCGCCAAAAATTCCACTGGTCAATGATGTAGATGTCCGCTTATTTTCCCTTGTTTTGTGTCACTTCCCTAAAATGCGTAACCTCGATATTTTCGGCGGAAGACTCACAGTTATAGGAGGAAGTTATCAATCACTTCATACGGCTTTGACCAACATTGGGTGGACTAAAGAATAAGCATGACAGGAAATCAGCGACAGCCCCCGCCCATTGAGCTCTCTGAAAGATAGAAGTGATCATGGACCTTCAGAAAGTTTTCAACAGACGTAGTGTTCACTTTAAACAATATACTGCAATATTTTGAAAGTCATTACAATTGTAAGGTGATGTAGCTTTCGTTCAGCGCACGTAGTCAGATGTTAAAACAAAATTGGTGATGTGGAATGATATACTGGTCATAGGGCACAACTATTCTGCTTCGGTCCTTGTTAAGTTGGAGGAAAAAGAATTTCCTGCTCGATGTGTAGAGTATTTTGTTTTGATGCAGACTTCGCTGTACCAGAAAGCGGAAATCTAAAAATAATTATTCTTAGGTAAGAAGAAAGTGGATTCAGGCTGTGGACAGTTATACTCACATTGTAATTTTGGATCAAGCCACGCAGAACCTCTCATTTCTTTGGGATAATTCTTAGATGGTGGTTCAAAATGATGTGAAAATCGTGTTTTCGGAGGGGAGGTCCAAGTTAGTGTAAACCTTGTTACAGACATGTTTTGCTGATCAAGTCACTGTTTCCAAATGACCACTTCTGTGTTACCGCAAAACCATTGGTACTTCTCAACTATCCACAGAGCGGTCTGTTATTCAAGTCAAACTTAGTGCGTCAGCACGCTGCATGTTATCTCTTTAACTTTAATAGAAATGTTTATGTGTCCACTACACACTTTAAGCTGAGCACCTTCACAGAGGACTGATCTCACTGTGTTTGTGAAGCGGGGTTTGATTCTTAAACATTTCGGTTGAAAATCCTTTTCTGCTATAGTTTTGATTCATTTTGTAGCCGTGAAGAATGAACAACGAAGCGTATTTGGCATGCCTCACTTGAGGCCTCACATGAGTAGCGATCTCCAATGAGCAACAGATTTTCAACCTACTCAATGATGAAATTTGATTGGTAGACCACACACCTACCCACGAACAGAATAAATACTTACTGTTGCATCAAAAGCCGTTGGCCAGGACGGCGGAATTAGTGAATATCCATGAATTGTTACATTTTTCCTTTGTTGTTCACGACTGTTATTGTTCCACATTCCACTTATTTTTCTACGAATCTGTTCATTTATGGAGATGATCATCTCGTCTATGCAGGTGCATGTGCTGCCTACGATGCGGAGTTCTGCTCACGCCACGTGGAAAATAGCGTGTGCAACAAAGTGAAGAATGAGTGCTTCTGTCGCAAGGACTTTGTGGCGATTCGGGAGAGTGGGCGCGTTACATGCAAGACATGTGAGTTTTTTGTACTTTGCTGACGTTTACTGTTTGTTGTTTACTTCTGCGATGTCATGTTCACCGGTCGTTCAAACCAAGTTATTTGAACGAGAGAGAAAAACTGTGGTTCATTTTCGAAGATGGGCAACAACAAACAAAAAAATAATGAGTATCATGTTAAGTTTGTCGGGTGAAGTTGCTGATGACCGTTTTTGAAGTAGAATAAGGTACAACTCGGCTGTGCTGTTTGAGTCCTGGATTCTGTGGCGAAACTAAAGATCTTGCTTGTAAAAACTTATACGTAACGCAGAATAAACTAGGAAATCAGCCCAATGTGTCCGTTATAGTATCTGGTCATTCCGATTTCATGGATTCTAGATTGAACAAATATTATTCCGAGCCTTTTTAATTTAGCCTGCAGGGTTCTGTAATCATATGGATCGCAATTTACCGAGAACACAGCCACGAAAAGTGAAAATGAATAGCTTGTGGAAAGATCAACCAGTTCGGAAATTTTGCGTAATTATTGTTGCCCCAAAGTTCGGAATGGCAGTGTCATCACATTTTATCCACCATTAAAAGCTCATTTTAAAAGGAATATAAATTGATGAGTTCGTCATCACTCATTCATAATTAATCACTGTATGCAACCAGTGCACGATTTATGTGTTGGAACTCGTTTGAGTTGCAGTTAGGTCGTTGAAGCGTCACGTTAATTGCACTAATTATAAATCAAAAAGTCGGAAAGTTCCTTTCCCGCGAAGAAAAAAGCTACGGTTTCCGGGCAAGAAGGATGACATTATGGGTTTTAACAGAGTACTATTCTCTTGATCGGTAAAACTCCATTTGAGTAAATGTAAGATTGATTACTGTGGGAAAAATAGGTGGATTTTGAGACCGTGATTTGAATGGATAATTAGTGGCATGCTCCCAGGATGACAGCAGATATTAAAGAGCTTGGAGGACCATGAGTAAAAAAGCAGATGAGTGAACGATCCAGTTAAATATCACGCATCCCCTACCAAACCAGATGCACAGAGACAAAGGGCCACGTTAGCGTCCAGCTTGTCAAGTAAACAAAGCTTGGTAGGCAACATGTGAAAGTGAGAATGAACTAGTCAAATGCATTTGACACAAGACCATATCCTGATACTAAGTTAAATTTAACCGCTGAATATTTGAAATACTTATAGTGCCATGAATGTGAGGTAATAAGAAGACAAAGAGTTAGATGCCTCTCAGGAAATGACACTGAAACCGAGGAATTACAACAAAATAGCTCGTGCACAACTAGCAAAGCATAATCACGGAAAGCTAAGGTAAGGTCATTGCATTCCAATTTTTTAACATGTATACCAATGGGATTTTGAAGATTTTTCTTGCTTTGTTTACACACCAGAAAACTTCAGCATTTTGTACCGTGAAAAATCATTCTAAATAAATGTAGTACATTGCCTTTAGATAGGTTTGGTCATTCTGTCTCGCGGGCGAAAAAATGGTGTGCAGCCAAATGAAACTCAAACTATGCTGTGATTCTATATTTACCGGGTCCTAATCAAATTAATTCAATCAAATCTTCCGGGTGCAAATAGAGATGTCTTCCCCTTTAGTTACCTTTTGGCGTTTACGAACATTGCTTGTCGAGTACAAGTTTACAAAGTGTGCCTACAAGTGAAAAATGCTGCGCTCCATGCGGATCTCCTATTTCAGTGTTAACCGATTTGAAATGTCGAGTTGATCGGGACTGCGTGCATGTCAACCGCAGTAGTTGTCATCCTGGAGCTGGATACTGTTCCTGTCCGGGAAACACAATCTACGTCCCTCAATTGCATGCCTGTCGTAAGTCACACCTTTCATTCGTTAGACTCGATTATCCATTTTCTGTTTACGTTTTGTCCGCTGACGTGTCATTCACTTCATGATTTATGATGGTATACATTACGTTTTACTTAACTGTTCTCACGTTCATGTGGTTAAATGGAACGAATCCGGGTAGAACCAGCGACCTTACTTTAACTCGTGACAGGCAAATTTTTATTGCTCTCACTCGTAGTGTTTTGATCAGAAAATCCACCTTGAGCAGCAGTGGTTTATCCTATTCTCAGACGTTGATCGAACAGAATATTCTGAACCAAGCAACCAGAACCCACTTATCTGACGGATATTCCACATAGCGTAATGGTGACCTTCCCATTGTACATCCGTCGTATTAGTCACGATAATCAGATATCATATGTATACGATAATAACATTATATAATAATATATGATATATTATATGATAGTCTAACATTATATGATATATTAGATGATATTATATGATAGTCTGAAGATCCGAAATTAATTTAAACAGACGCTACGCCGTGTTTTTAACAGTTAATTAATTTTTAGGGTAGCTGTATTTAAATGGATGCTGTCCTTTGTTGTTAGTGCCCTTGACATATGACACACAAGCAATGAATCATAGTGGTCACAAATTAAATTACTTGCAACACAGATTGGTACGATACTCTCGGTAATTACCTGACAAAGTTAAGAGAGGCGATGCCTGTTTGTTAGATGGCATTAAACAATCATATTATCCGTGGTAATTAGCCGACTACGGTACCAGAAGAGGTATGAGAGGTAAGAAGGCAATCGGTACTCTTGAAATGGGGAACATGTAGATCCTACTTCATCTAAAGTCTAGTGAACAAATGTTTGATGGCATACCGATCGTCTTGTTTTTAAACTGCATTACTCATGCCTTAACTTCTACTATGTTCTGTAATTGGTTATTTGCGTTGGCCAGTTCCTTTCAAATAACATTGAGTACACCGTTTTAAGAACCGTATCAAAGACAATGACGTTTACGTTGCTTTCTTACCTGTCGGCAGTGCAATAAGGAAGCTAGACAAGACTGTACAGATCTGGGTTAAATTAACAAAGGTTTGAAGACCTTCTGGGTTGATGTGGATAAATGAAAGTCAAAGCAAACAATATGTGGATGGAATGGCTTCAAAGAGATTCAATTATAAAACCGCCGGCGGTTTAGATAAGGCAGTGGAAATCAGTAATATTTACTCGGCCACTGTGATGATAGACGTAACAAATAGCGGAATATGTAAGTCATATCCAATCGCTTTTGTCATACTGCTATTGTTTCACGCTACAAACATGAATGCGCACCACCGGCGTATCAAGGAGCATAAATTTTATTCGTCAACTTACTTACCAGTAGAAAAAAGTAATGTTTCCTTTCCGCATAAAGCTTGACTAGAAAAGTGCCTTTTTATACCATTGTTTTAGTGTAATAGGTTTTGAGGGAAGTAGTACATGTGTGGACGTTCGGTTAGACATTTTAGTGAAGACACACCAGCCACCTTTTAAGTGCAACGGCAACATAAAACTTTGCAAGAATTTCCGGTGAACAGTCAAGAAAATTTTAGATGATAAGCTCTGAGGCGACTGTATGGTACCGGTCTCATCTAAACACTCTTATCTTAGGCGCTTTATAGAAGTGTTCATCTGTCGAATTTTCACTTTAGGGCAAACGATAACTTTGGTGTGATCTAATACAACCCGTGACCTCTTCAAGGTCACGGATTAGGAAGGGCAAAAGGCTGTACGTCAGTACCAATAGCAACGATCACGAACTAACAAGACTATTATTATAACCTGTCGGTTACCGAAGAGGGCATGTATTCACATGACATTTTTCACAAATGACAACTCCGTAGTGTCCATCTCCTACATTGATTAAATTTCAGAACATTTATTTGATGAACATCTTCCTAGTTATAGCCGCGAGCTGGAAAACAACTGCTCCCTGTTTGTGGTCCGCAGACAAAAGATTGAAATATGTAAAGGCAATAACCAGGAGAATCAACCACACATCCTACCATTTATTAATTGGTAGGACGTTCTACTCAGCTGATGCGAAAGATCTATTTATCCATTCGAATAAAATATTGAGGTTTTGAATGATACTACGATACATCATACATTCCAACGCACTCTTTGTTTTCTAAACTGCCCTGTTTAATCTGTTTTTCGTAGACATGCATACTTACTGACACTCTCAGGCAACCAGTACGTGGGCTGTCATCTTTCTTCCGGTGTAGGTTAATAATATGAAGGTGGTCGTTAGCGTGAGGCGAACGGACAAATTAGCGCGTCTGAATTTAGAGTTAATTGACTCGTCACTTACTAACACTTCCAACTGTGGTTTTTAGCCTATTTTTTGTCATAAACCGATTTTCGGTATTTCACGGAAGGTCGTCTTCCAGCTCAGCCAAATAATTTAGATTTTCAATGTCTTAATATACTCATGGTTCAGTACTTTTGAAACTTCCATCAGTAAGGAAAATAAGCCCTGAGAAGAAATAATAATTTAATAAAATTGGCCAAAAGGATTCTACGCCATTCCCGGTACATTAGGCAGGGCGTCATAATGTCTATGAATCCTCCTGTTCGCGTCGATTCTTAACCGACGCGAAATCTACAACTGGCCTCTGATACTTAGGAACAAATAACTTTGCATAAAACCTACTTTTTTCAATCAAAACTCAGATTACGCATGAAGAAAGGTAACCACAATAGTTTTAGAATGGATGGAACGCTTGGATAATATTGCACCTATACAGGGTTTAAAGCCAAATGTAATGTCCATAGCGCTCAAAGCAGTTTGTCTTTTGTTAAGATGTAACGTTTTTTGGACGGTTGGTTTACTTGAAATGTGTTAGAAACTTATGACCAATTTCTTCTATCTACTTTTAATGTTTTAGAATTGGGTTGATCAACAATGTACAGGCCAGATATTGATAGAATAATATTTATTTTTTTACACATGATCATCCCACAGATAGCTGTGCGGGCACTGTAGAAGCTTAGAAAAAAGTACACCGACTTGCTGTTCCCTACCACTAATAACACGGAAAACACAAGTAGCATGACAATTTCATGAAGTACACACTACGAATCTGATGGACAAACTGATTCAGTGAGACATGATTGCGATTTAGTACATAAGGGGTTTTAAGCTGACACACTTTCGCCGCGATTCCTTTCAGACCGGTGAGTCGGTAACTCGTATCAAAGTCCGATCTTTCGAGATACTGCACTCTCAATTATGTAAGCTGGAAGGAATAACATAGGGACGGTCAACCGTAAGAAGTATTGATATAATGAGTTCGTATGAACCTCGAGTCATTCAATTAAATAATTTTTTACTGTGACCTCTGACTGTGACTTCCAATAATTTCCTTCAGTTGAAAAGTTACTCTTCATCAGGTTTCGTCTTAAGGCCGTACTGGTCAATGTGACACCGGCTGAATTGTGCAGCAAAAATGATCAGCTGATGTGAAAATAGAACCGACATTTCTGTTTTCTGCGATTTGAGATGGTACTTTGTTGAGACCGTACACACTTTTTACCCACATATAAAACACATTCCGGTATTTTTGAAGTATGCCGCTGCTGGAAACTTGCAGAATTTTACCAGTAAGTTCAGAAATGTGCGAAAACTCTGTACAGTGTCAACGCACGTTTGTTGGCCTTACATCTACATTAAAAAAAGGAGCGGAAGTAAAGACGGGAGCAAAGCGATTAGCAACTCTGGCCAACAAGCAACAGTTTACCAGATTTTGCTTACAAACCTGGGCCTTCAATTCTATTCGGTTGAGAACCAAATGCTCATCATAGTTATCAAATCAGCCTATTCTTGCACACCTCAAATAAACTCCTTAATAAATGTCATGACACAAATACTACCGGTAGCCAGATAAATTATCCCACTTCCAGAGCAATTATCGGTCTGGACTCAGAAAAAGTCAAATACATGAGTGCAGGTTTAAATGCGGATGCAAGTAGGTAAGCACCACACTCTAAAAGCACGTCAGAACTATTTAATCTATTTCGGCATGAGTTGTCGTTTTCCAGGAGCATTTATAACAGCTTACATTTTTCAAAAGTCACGTGAGAAAAATAAAACCTTCAGTTCAAAGAGTTCACGGGGCTCAATAATTCCAACTATTCTCAAGACAGGTCACAGTCAGTGTTGAAAATCAGGCTTACTTATGATGTCCAATGTAGAAAACGCCTTCATTGTGCGTAACTAAAATCTACTAATCACCAGAGGACAACATTTTCAAATTTAATTATTCGTTCGTTCATCATTTTTCGATATATGCTAGCCTCGTCCCACCAATGTTTGGCTCAGTTACAGTGCCTACGTTATTCGTATAGCGGCCCATGATGACAGGAACCAGTAAAGAAAGGACTGGCACAGTTGTCTTTACACATGACAGAGGAGGGTCAAACACAGTCACCGTTAAAGTGACCTTCAAGGGGGGATTATATGCTTGATATTGATGCATTTGAAAGGTCGTCTTCTGGTTGAATGCGTCATAAACAATGTGCACAACAACGATCGAATGCAGAGGCATTGGCATTGACCATACATCCAGCCTTAAATAGAATAGAAAACTTGAACCTGGTGTGTGTGACAGGTTGTTTAAGGTCACTCGTGCTGACGCGTGTTGCTGTGCAGATGACAACCATAGGGAATCAGCAGCAAAAGTTATTTGGATTTAAGATAGAAGGCCCAACCCGCTAGCTCACTTGCCGTAGCTTCAAATCATCTACGGTGACCAGGACATTGAACAGGATGCAAATAAGTGATGTGGACCAAGAAAGCCAGAACCCCAGACCTGGCACAAAGCTCGTGTGGCCCACTATATCTAATCCTGTAGTGTTGAATTTAACCACCCGTACTAGCTGAACTCAGATAAGAAAGAGACTATATATGCGAGCCGACGTCTAACACTCATAAAACGGGACATCGAAAAGCCACCGTGCCAATTTGTTTTCTGTACGTTTTAAAACTTGATCGGTCTCCTAAACCATTCAGTAGGCTCGCCGAAGATATAGGGTCAAAAGCGAGATATGGCCCAGCAATAAATCTACTTGTTCCCAATTGCCTGAATGAACAATAATATAATTTGTATATCAAAATAGCAGCATCAACATTTACTCCGGCGTTGAAAGGAGAAAATATAACTGTATGGCTTATTACACAAACAGTTTAGTGTGCTTCTTATCAGTAGCTTTAAACTGAGAGATTCTGGCGTCAGTTTTATGCTAGCATTCTTAATTTTGCATGCCCCCAACTGACATTCTGTCGGCCTGTATAAGGAGCGAGGAAAAAACATTTTCTGAATTATTCTACTCATAAAGCATCACAGACAGGGCGGATATACTGACTCTGTTTCTTTGTCGCATTCAGGAAACCGACTGGACTACTCCCGTGATGTGGTATGCAAAGCTTGTCAACAAAAGCGGGGAATATGTTTTTTGCACGAAAAGTATGACCAACCTGAAGAGGATGTCAGGTAAGTCAACTTGGATTCTGCCGCGTCCCCATTCACTTTATACAACGTTGACGCAAATGCGCACAAAACCCTCCACGTGTTATGCGAATGGAACAAGCAAATTGTAATGGACTAAGTGAAAATTGCACACGAGACTTCTTCGAGAATTTTGTTTGACGCTTTTCTTTTGTATAACGAAAGCTTAACAGTGAAAGTTGGACCTCAAAATCGGTGCAGAGTTGCGCTGGACAAAAGTGAATTTCTCAAGTAAAACTGCTGTTTGAAAAACAGTGAATTTAGGACTTGCTTTTTTTTACCTTTGGAACACTACGGATGACTAAATAGGCTAGAAAACACGAAATTTCTCGGTAGTCAGCACCTTTGCACATCAGGGAAAAACAGTGGAACTCTTGGTCCTCTCATGCTGCCGTAGGTCGAATGTATTTGCGCGAATAGGGTTTGCAGGAAATAGGATTCGTGAAAAATTGCTTTACAATTTATAGACGACCTCAAGAGAGGCACAGACAATAATGAAATATGATGGTTTTTGCGGGAGGTGTATTGTTCAGTCCCACATCACTCTCGTTCTGAACAGTCGTCCTCCTGTCCTGGCGCAATTATTCATGTGAATCCACACCAAAGGGGGGGAAGCACTGGACTCGAGTTTCGCTCTTGTTAGAGCTCATCAGCAGTGCATATCCAATNTCGATCGTCACAAGCAGGACAGTTACTGGGTCGTCGTATCGATGATGTGTCGGGCATATAATCACATCGCATAAGTGAGAACACGTTCACCCGTTCAGACGTGAGAATTCAGATGCGTGCAACGTGCGCTGGTGGAATAGTGGTAACACGTTCGCCTCGCATGTCAGGTGTCCGGAGTTCAAACCCCGGCACGGCCATTGGATATGCACTGCTGATGAGCTCTAACAAGAGCGAAACTCGAGTCCAGTGCTTCCCCCCCTTTGGTGTGGATTCACATGAATAATTGCGCCAGGACAGGAGGACGACTGTTCAAAACGAGAGTGATGTGAGACTGAACAATAATGAAATAGTCAGCTGATAGTCGCAAAACGTGGAGCCCAGTTAACCAGTTGTGGGCTCGACTGAAGGGATGACGCTGCAACTTTGAATGTCAATTATTGTGTGAGGAATGGTCATCGACAGGAGCACTGGGATACCCAGAATAAACATCCTCTGAAACCCAGTTTTTGATGCCGCATTGCGGTCACTCTTCACCCACTCCACTTATTAGACATTGGTTGCTAGATGGCCAGAGTATAAATTTCCCGTACCCAATCGTTCAGCTTCAGCCAGCCACTGCCTAGTAAGTTATACATTCTTGTAATCATATTTGACAAATTCATTGCATTGCTAAATAATTCCTGATAAAGCCTCTGTATTCCTGGAAAATTCCTCAAAGAGACACAAGAAGGTGCAAATAAAGTGCAGTGATATCTGAATACCAGTTTTGCGTGTTTTATTCAAATATATGGACATGTCTTTCCGTCATCTTAATCAGCGAGTTTCTGAAACCTCATCACTCCAAACGTTTTTGTGTCCTATTACTAGAGGAAAACGATCAACTGTTTTTATTCGCGCATTATATACCTCATAGGAGTTGCGCCCAGCAGCATTACGATGTAGCGTTGATACATTGTGTAGTATTACATTACGTCATTGACGGAGGTCAAAATTGTAGCTTACTGTATTGTTATTGCGTTCAGTGAAGTTGTGTCATACAGTGCTTGAATCTGAGGGCACAATTTTCAAGTTCTTTAACTAATACTTTTCCAATCCACCAGGTACAATCAGAACAGAATAGGTTGTGTGTGTCCCGGTTCAGGACAGGCAACTAGAATCAAGTCAGACGATTGGTCATCTGGTATATGTGCAGGACAGCTCGGTAGGTTGTGCCACTTCCATGCATTTTGACAGCTAAATAGCAGCGTTTCTTATTTAGGTCGACTTCAGCCAAATTTGCATTTTAACACTGCTTCTATGTAATGTTTTGATTAGATTTCTTTCCTCGTTTATATATTCCTTTACTTGGGATCTTGTGACGCTAAGACAATTGATATCTTAAGCACTAATATTCATGCTTGTTTAATTGCTTGATTTAATTTGAATTGGGGTGGGAAGAGTTACGATTGGCAGACCGACCACTAGTTGAATGTCACAGCTATCATGTAGGGTAGAGCCACATCACAGCTTGCCTAGGGAACATCCACTTAGGTTCAGAAATTTCCAACGTAAAAGTACTTCTCGAGTCATTTGTAAATGTCGAGTGAATGATATGTGAAACTTAGAAGATGCAAGATTCTCTTACATTAATACTGCGAGACAGGATGAAAGCTTACTTCGTCCCTCAGGTAATGGTGTTTTTCAGCCTTAATAAACAAACTTCATATATTAACTTGTAATCGACATAACTTTGAAACGGCCGAGAATTCATAAAATGATTGTAGTTGTTTTGCGCCACTCTGCTTCGTCCGTTCAGATATCTACAAAATTTGAGTAAGAAATCACCGAAGATGCCGGTGATGTTTTTCGCTGGATACTCCTCCAATTGGTCGTTGGGTAATTCGATTGCATCCTCCAGTTGTCTGTGTCTAGGAGATACACAAGTTTTCGTTTTTTACTGATACTTCAGAGCTTCCGAACTCGCCCCCAACTGTGGTGAGTCCCCGAGGACCGCAATAAGTATCCGGAAAAGCATAAGAAAGCCGGGACCAACGCTAATAATCAACGAATGTCCACACAGGTATCTAATGTATGCAACTCTGGGATTAGAGCCATCAAATTTTTATAGGCAATAATGGTCTGTAAACCAGCAATAAAAGTAAACGGAGCAGTTAATCGATGGACCACCAATCAATCACTCAGTCTGCCACTCAAATGCCCAATTTTCCAGTAAATTAATCATCCCTTAGTTGGGAATGTCCTTAAATTCACTCATGTGATGTGCTAAGAATGATGATGACCTATATCCGATGAATGTCTACTCACCAACACTGGTCCATGTTGTGGTCAATTTCTAAACCACAGAGGTAAGCAAAATGGCAAATAATAAGAACAAGGCCGCATAACCAAATGCCAAACGGTCACTCGATAAGCATCAGCATGCTACAATATATACCCAAGTAAATCATTTCACCTCTTTTTCTGTTGACTACTGTTTTCGCTGCAACACACCTAGGCAACGATTAAACCCTCCAAATGAAAAACGGGATATCTGATCGTCATCTGGAGGTTATCTGTGGCAGAGGACTTTTTTGCAGTATGTATGCAATATGTTTGCAATATGTTTACTTCAAAACTGCACCAAAGAACACCGGCTTGGTCGGAAGCATTTTGGGGAATATTGCAGACCACCGCAATGGATTAGGACATAACAACTAACTTCCTATCCATAATTAAATCTGCACTTAGGTGTGACGGGAACCATAGCTATTCAGATGGGCTTACTATAAAACTCCATCTCTGGCTAATCCGAAGGAGAAATCTGGGGCTGTATCTCTTTCGTTCGGTCAGGAAATCTGTTTGAAAGGCTTCGTTTCACTAATCTGAATTCTACTGGTCTATTAGCGGATGCCGCTAATAGAAGACTGTCAAACAGTCCACTACGGTACGCGACTGCGAAATTCTGACAGGATAGGTTCTTTCATGTTGTTCTATGAGTTGAGCAAACGAATCACACTGCCCAAGCATGACATTGTTCGCTTTTTCAAATGTGTTAATTCAGGGGCGTCCAAAGTGCATAGATGAATATTAGTAATATAATCACGTCGCACAGCAACTATCCGGGGTTTTAATCACATCAAACTAAAGGATTTGCACTCATTATGAGACCCAATACCCCATCTTGAAACGAGTGTGATTTTACTTTTTAAAAATCTGCAATGCACGAAACTTCTTTCGCATTTCCTGCAGGCCTTCTGAATATTGTACCAAGCTGCAGGTTTCTGTTGTCTTTTGGTGATGATTTACTACGCTTCTATATATACATGGAAAATGTATTGAAACCACTTATCAGTGCTGAATGTCTGGAATGACTGAGCAATTATGCTCTGTTTTGTTTGCGAATTGTTTGTTTCTAGAATGTATTTTACAAAGACTTTCCTCACATGATCAAACAAGTCGTGTTTGACAACTGCGGTTGCCCAGTTAATGGACACACTCTAGTTCCAAGTCAGACAAATGATAAAATAGCGTCTTGTTCAATGAAACTCTAACTTGACCTTTTGACGTAAAATCATGTGAACACTTAAGAAAGAATGATGAGGTGTTTGAACGCTCGAAAGATTGCAGTATAAACCGAGATCCATCGAAGCAACAGAATAGCAAAGGAATTAGTCAGTACGACGTCTGGCTACCGTCGTTCGGGCTGTCCTGTCTATCTTGGTTGTGGCTCCTATAGACTATCATTCTATCTTGATGAAACGTCCGCTAACATGCACGTAGCTGTTGAGTCATTGGGTGTGTTGACGTGAGTATCCCAGTCAGAAAGAAGGGGTATGGTTTATCCGATGCAAAGTCGTTACTATTTTCCGATATATAGCTCTGAATAAGTGAACGCATCTTAATGGCACTATCAAAACTGACATCTCCTTCAGTGAGTAAGTCAATCTTGAAGCTGTTTTCTAAACAATTGAAGGTACCCCAGGTCAAATTCTAAGGATTTTTCTTTCTTTGAGCTCTGTTAGATAATATTTCCATTTAGCAGAGTTCGTACAGAATTAGAGTGAGACTGGAAACCTGTAGGCACTTTCTTTGCGCTGGCATGGTGTCCGAACTTCTCATGAGAAGAACATTAAACGGGGGCTTCCGCTTTGTTCCAGTTAGTTAATCAAGTTTAGGTTAAGGCCGTAAGGGATGGATGACCTGTGTATTCCGGATGGCAATGTACTTTAAACTGGTCTCAACAGTTATTAATTTATAGTCAACCTTGCAGATTTCGTAGAAACAAACATGGGTATGGAAAAGGGAACATTGGTCGTGGAGATTCCGCGATAAATTAGCCTAGATTATTGAAAACGTCGGCTGTCGTACCCATATACGTTTTGTTCCTACGATTCAGAAAGCACGCTTTTGCTCAAACCGTATCGATTAAGAATATCTGGAACACCCTGATTTCAAAAGACACTAAAAATATGCTGTCACAAGGAACAATCATTCCTTATGTGAGATGTGACATAGATTGATGCATATTAACATATAAATCCACGAAAAATAAGTATCGGTTTCAAGAAGCCAGGCTAATGTTGAAATTCTTTGATTCAGTTGCACCTCAAACCACTTAGATATCTCGGTTATAAAAATTACTGGCATCTCTTCATGAATGTCCTGTTTATAAATTGGGGCCAATTTCACTTAGAGGTCCCTTTCGATGTTCCTCAGAAAACAAATGTATTTTACTGACTTTCCCAAACCTGAAAGGCGTACTACCCCCAGAAAGTTGTGTCCAAAATTGTTTACCAGATTAGTTACGTAATCGGTACGGGTAGACCGTTCATCGACGACATACAATTTGAATTAAATTTACTACGAAAACGTTCAGTACATTAATCTGTGCCCATTAGAACAATTTGATTAGTAGCAAAGTTCAACGACTCCTTTGAAAGTTACCCAGTATTATATTCGCCTAAAAACACGTAACCTGCATCTCTAGTTCAAAGGTTGAAATGTTTACCACAGCGTCACGAACTGATTTATGCTTGTTGTTCATGAACGGTGGTTAGACAGTGTGTTATGGTCACAAATGCTTGTATCCGCGTCCAGTCGATTATGTTCTAGAAAAGTGTTAACCGGCTACAAGAAATCATTATAGATCACGAAGGCATCACCCAAGTAAGCTTATCCACTAAAAAATCGCTGAGTTGAACTTGAAAGTAAAGAAATTAGAGATCAAGATTACTCAACCAAGCGTGTGGTCCTCTATGCTTGGAACCATTAGCTATTCCTGCAGAGTATCCGGGTCCATTCCGGTTTCACAAACCATGAGTATTTTTATGTAAAATAATACTTGGTCTACATTGGTTGCAATTTGTCGGTTTCAGTCGATATCGGTCTGCAGTGTGATGAGTCCGTGACATTTTGTCGATCACGGAACGCGGTTTGCCGACGTATTAGAGAAAACACAGCGCACGCAACCAGCATTCACTCGACACAACTATGGCAGAAACCCAGCGATGATACATCAGAACGCTCCAGTGAGAACAATGAAGTCGCCGTCTGCCAGTGTAAAGAAAATACCGTCCCTGTCTATCAGACGACCCTGAGTTACACAGAATGCTGTGAGTAGAAATTTCAAAATGTGAATATCTTTGTTCTGTCTACGTACTTAAGTATTTGCAACACCCTAATCAGGAACACGTTGCAATCGAACTAGTTAATGCCTCCCCATACATGGAAAAACTTGTTGTCTCACTCTGGAAATCCAGAGGACTGTGTGTAGAAAAACATTCTCCCATTTGAGCTTTTATACAGTAGGTGAAACCTACCAATGCCAAAAATTCATAGGATCACTGCACAGCTACTTCGCCAGCAGCGTACATCTGACGAAACTCCAGGGAGTCAAACTCACAACCTTACTGCTAGTAGTTTGAGCACTTAATTTTTTGGTCACAATGAGCCAATCAGTACTGTAATTAATTCGTAGTTAGACAGGATATAGCGCCAATTGTCCTTCTACTACGGAATGCACATCACGTGGCGGCGCGTTGACTGGATCCTAAAGTGAAGATGGAAGTTTCACTCACTGATGAGTTTCTTAATACGTAACTTTGAATTATGCGTAGGTTGCCCGAATATCAAAACGAAGAATAGAGTTCAAAAATCTACGGTATTATGTACACAAAGGTAAACTTACTGGTGCAGCGCGGTGTCAATGTCCGCATTCCAGACAGCGGTGAGTGGAATCTGTGGGCTTCGGTCATCCCCTCCGATGCCAATGTGATCGGCACACACAAACACGACAGGCAAGTCAGGGCAGGCTCAGCGAACGGGCCACGAACACACATGGGTAAGTAAGTCAGCAGCGCACATTCACACCACACACACACACATCCTAATATACCAGTTTAGGAAGGGATGGCCATTGCGGTATGGTGAGCAAAGCAAATGGAAATCAAAAGTACACGGGTGGAGAAAGCAACTGAGTGGGAGACACGTGATGAGGTCAAGTTCGATTCAATACTCAGTGGAAATCTCCCCTTGAGCTACTTTTGGATTGTTGGTAGAGTGAGGGGGATTTTGGAATCCAAAGTCTTCTTACAATACCAACAATGACTCTTAGTTCAGATTGTTTCTTTTCAACTATTCAGTAATATCATTTAAATGACCTTGAATCTCATTCTCTGATTTTTCATCTCCAACCAGTGTGACCTGAACATTTTTTTGGCTCCACACATATGGCGGCCACTTAACACCATGTCAGTATTTATTTGACAAGAAACCATAAACTGGCTTTTCTATAGTGTTCATTCCTGACCACATCGTAGAGTTTGTCCGCAATCTTCTTCCAATTCACAGTTCCAACTTTGCCATTCAATGCTTCTAAATGTGAATCGTGCTCAAGAGTGAACGGTGAATGTTACGATCTCAATAGTGATGGGATCGGTGATGGGTGTGTCTGCCCACCACACCTTTCAACGTTCAGAAATCGTTTGGATTCAAACGTTGAATTCTGCACCCAGAGCCACGGTTGGTTTCTGTGTGTTTTATTTTGACATTTTTAACGGTGATAACCGAACGACTCACCTACAGTTTAAAGCATATTAGTTTAAATGTTAGTTATTCTGCCTAGATTTGAAGCTAGAAACTTTTAGGAGTCAAGAATTGGCCTTTCAAGAATGTACTAGTGCCTAAAGACGCTATTTCACGCTTATTATACAAACTAATTTCTTCGAATTCTACGCGGATTTCGAGTCGAATACTGGCCAGGTTAACATAACATTTTCTAAATGCCAAGGAATAACTAAGATTATATGGCTTGCTCATTATTTTGCTTCTGATATGGAATTTTCTTGTGAAATACTGGGATCCAGAATCGTCAGGATACTTTCTTCTTCCGTTTGTTCATAGTCGCCTGACTACCGAGTACACTCAGTCAATGGTAACATTTTTTCCTGCTGTGACTTGGGATAAGATTCCATGAATAAGTATGCTCTTCTCGGTTTGGAGGGTAGTCAGGCAATTGTGATAAAGTGTTCTCTCTTCATGACGTGGACTGCTTACAATACAACTCTCTGGAGTTGGATCGTAAATGTTCGGTTGTCACCACAATCTTTTTTGTACTGTGATAACTGCCGGTTTACGGTCCACAATGCGAAGAACGGAATTTATTATTGCGTCACTGTCTGGCTTAAGATGAATTCCAAACTTCGCTCACATTTTCACGTACAATATTTGCACGGTATTTGGTCACTGATTTTGTAGTAGTTTTCAGTTGAGATTTCCTTCTGTACGTGAAGATAATCTGTGTCGGGAAGCCGGGAAAAACTGAGTAATTGTTTTCAATCAATTGGATAATGTTTGGGACTGATTAGGAAGTCATTGTTGCAAACATGTGGAGAGCGGTCTTGGATCAGCCGAGAGGACAAGAGGCGGTGTGCAGTTATCAACGAAATGTTCTGGGTTTTAAAGTACAAAATCCAAGTACAGTTAGATCCAATTAACCACTCCAGCCCCATCCACAAATCAACTGTCCCGGCAAAGATGAACGAAATCTGTGAACGACCCCAAGAGGAATTTTCTATTAAGGTGTCCTAGAATGAAAAAGCAAGGACAAAAAATTCGGGTTCGTCATGAAGACAAATCCTTTCCCCTAGTAGATCTATCCTAAATGTTAGTTATCCCCACTAACCAACAAACAAGAACATCAAACAGAACACCCAGCACTGATCAAGTCGGCTAGTCATTAGAAATCTCACGGATTGCTTCCCTGACCGCTTTAAAAAACAATGAACCTACCTACTTACTTTGCCTGACGAAGGTTTTGTGCCAAAAGTGAAACGTTGCCCAGCAATTGACCGATTGATTACCAATCCTCTCATAAACGATGAGTAGTTGTTTCATTATTCCTGGAGATCATCAGCTGTGCGCATCTCACAAAACTTCATGGAAGCTCAAACCCCCGACTTTTCTGCTAGTACTTTGAAGAGTTAACCAACCGCCTACGAGCTGCTGACTACTTTGCGGTTAAGAAAATATAGCACCGCGAATCTTTCTATCACGAAATCCACATCCCTTGGTATGGCCTTATCTGGAGTTGTTTATCCTGTTTTTGACTGCCATATTAGCCCTTATGCGCTTCTTTTATACCATGGGGCCTAAATATCGATTGCGAGAATGATGATTACAGGATGAAAGATCCTTCTGTCAGAGTGGACAACTATCCGTGGACCATCCAGATGCAATACAGTTTAGTGAAATCAAACAATCTCGGAGACACATACATACCTTCTGTTCCTATGCAAACAACTCGAATGCCTGTGAAAGAGAGAACTATCAACAATTGCGTTCAGTGGAGTTGCTTCGACGGTTAAGGTACGGGAAATTCGCGAACGAATATGCTATCCGTACGTAGTGCGCCCACGTTCCCTACTAAGGACGTTTTCTGAAGACTTCCGGAGAAATGGTTGCGTCACTCGCGCTTTCACCGATTTTTTGGTTTGCTTGATTATCGGTAAAATAACCGAGCGTTTATTGTAGCATGGAATGCTTGACTTCCGCATCTCCCACTGAAAAATCACCGACACACACGGCACACTAATGACAGCTCTTGCGTCTGCAGTCGGATTGTCTTGATAAAGAGGTTTATAGGGATTTTCCCAAAGACGCCTTCAGCGAACTGAATGTGTAGAAATATGAAGCTGTTTCTCAATGAATGCGGACAAGCAGATTTTATGGCAGTGGATTTTTGTAACCTGACTTCTGCACTAAAAATTCAAATATATATGTTCGCGATGCGCGAGTAGCGCTGAGAGAAAATTGAAGATGACTTATATACTTTCGACAAATACCCTCATTTGCATTTCAATTTGTTTTTGACGGGAAAACTGCTGAATCTCTCATTTATGATGTCCTTACTTCCGCCTTTTAACATTTTCCACTATCATTTTGAACCTCAGTTGTTACTTTTAATTTCCACAGTATTACGGCAATAATTTTTCGTGCTGACCATATTTTTGTCATGTTTGTTGTAACCTCAGTCGCTACGAACTGCTCAGACGGCTTTTTCTCCGTGTGTTACGCCCCACATTCCGGTGAGCCGTACGAAGAACTTACTTCTAATCTACTCAGTGGGATGGCCGTTGTTCGCCTAGCCCCCTCCACGGGTGGAGATAATGCAGACGTGTTCGGGACAAGCACGGACAACACGCGATCCCACATTTCAGGCTTTAATCCGGAAACGGTCGTCAGTCGAGGGACAGCGTATCGACACTTTTATACTACCGCACACGTTGACAGCACAAAGCCACAAAGACACGTAGCGTCTTCATTGTCTCATTCTTGTCAGCTGATTGAATACAGAGCGCTACAGAAAACGCGCACGGGTTTGCCATATGGTCGCCTTCGACAATCTGGTGGATTTGGTGAAACGTCTGTGGACTCTGATCTGTTTTGTGTGCATTTAAACGTGTGGCAATACCAAACACAGTGCGGCGTTCGCTTGTATCGACTGGGAGTGAGTAATTTTTATGGTACTGCTAACATCCTCATTTGAATAAGTTTTCAGAATTCTATGTCATGTTCCTGTTCCCAATGAACTTATCTGGCAAATCATGCTCTGATTACTGAAGCCAACTTTAGGCACACTCTGACAGAGGATTTCCTCTAGGATGTGTTCTATAAAAAACAAGTTCATATTCATCATTTACGTACGTCATTCACGCATGAACAAGGACAACATATGTCAGACAAGACACACCTGAATTGTGTCTATACCGGCTAGCTTCCGTTTGGCAATCCAGCTACTATGAGTGCCAGATATCTCCTATCACTGGATTTAGTCGGACCTGAGGCAGAGAGATAAACGGGAATACTATACTGGCAACTGAATTGGTAATTTTTAANAAACTGAATGGGTAATTTTTAATCGTGCACGCATTCCTGCGATTCATTGAATAAAAATTACCTGATGTCCTACGTGAGAATTAGTTACAACCACTTGAATACTGGAGACATACGTGAGGTCTACTCATAACAATCGATTGATTTTAGAATTTGCAACCGAACAACACTTTGGTGGATTGCTAAACGCGGTTTATTAGCACAAGAATTGAACAAGGGTCCCGAAGTGCACACTATCCCGTTGTACAGAAGTGCAATCAAAATTTGTGCATATATAATGTGTTGTCGGTGGATCTGTGCAAATGCTGGAACAGCAAAACCAGAAGTGAAAGTTCGAGGAAAAACTGTGTCCAAACCACACTTACGATGACGTCATTAACCCACTTTATTTTAATTGGTCATATCCACCACATATTTGAGACGCAAGTGAACGAATTGAATGAATTCACTATCAAACATGGAAGCCTGCTCAACTCTATAGTTATTTCTGAAGCAAACTTATGTATAATTCTGGCCGGTAAATCATTGTTTCATGTGGAAACGAACGATTTTCAGCTCGTCAGTAGTCACTTAAGGTGGAGCATCGAGAGAGGGAATAACACATACCCCCGTGTTAATTTTATGCAGTCACCTTTCATATAAAGTTTAACCTATGCACCATTTGAGTGTTAGCTATACTTGATTAAGGTGTCTAGCAAACATATGAGTTAAATTATCTTACTAGTGTTTAAGCATTTTACCACAAAGGCGCTGGAAATCCAACACTTTCGATGAAAGCTAAAATGTGCAGAATGGATTCAAAACAAGATTTCCCAGGTTGGGCTTCTTTTGAGACCACCAGTGGCACGGAGAAGCTTGCTTACTGTTGTCTTCTGACATCCAGTCAGCAAGACTGTAAATGAGAATAAATATTGTTTGTTTCCAAGGACCGTTGTGTGGATAAAAGCACAAAAAGTGATTTGGGCGTGATTTGAGATCGAAATATTGGTTTCCGTATTCAACAGTGAGGAGCACAATAAATAGATGAGTTATTTCCATGCTGTCGCACGTTTAGTTATCGATCACTCGCTTCCTAAACACGCGGAATAATGTGACGTTCTTATATGAAACAGCTAGTAAAAATAAGTCTGTAAGGAGATTCGACTTTGAGAAAATTTCACTCCAAAGCGGAATTTTACAGATATCCTCTTCACAAACAGGTTTCTTTCCGAATTCACCTGCAAATGTATAGCGGAACTTATAATGGACACAGTCATGGGCAAACGCTATCGATGACGCTTGTTCCCCCTAAGGGTTTGTAAAGAGACAGAATTAGAGATCTTGTTTATTGTAGTTCTTAATATAACTTGTGTGGACGATGATACCGAACAGTCACTGAAAAGTTTTTCTTCCTATATGTTCTACTTAATTCTTTGAAGCCACTGAAACATATTGCACTAGTCTTCATCTCACTAAAGAAAGAAGTCACGATGTAAGTCTTGCTTTCAACCTTTTATTTAGGAGCTAGAAACGATTAGATGTACATTATTTTTAAAGCGACAAAGTTTAGAAGCAAGTTTGTTTCAAAAAACCTTTTGTAGAACCCGGTCAGTATTGGCAGTAAGCCCCTTCATTCTAACGCTAAACAGTGTACTTGATGAACCTCATCCGCAGAATTCGACCGCAACTAGACCATTTGCACTACATGGGCTAATTTTAAGTTACAAGATTGTTTGTTTACATGTTCACCGACTTTCGTCTGAAATCACGCTTGTGTGAGGACAACGCAGCTAGTTTCATGATACTCCCAAATAAACAAAACTAACCAAAGGAACGCCAGTAAAATCAGTGCAAACAGAAGTTTGTTTTTATCATCCAATTTACACCATCCAGCAAAGTCCGCTGGAGGCACGCCACAAACCAACAGAGAAGCCGACCACGACGCAATACAGATCAAGAACGGGCCAATCAGAATCCAGGTTACAGCGCAAAGGCTGCTCTTTGTAGACTATATAAACGCAGGCACGAAGAGAGGAACTACCCAACCAACAGCGCACTGAAGATGTCTCCTCGAATGGTGACGAAACGTTTGCAAATTAATTGCCAAGCTCGGCGAACAGATCAGCAGCCACCTGATCAATTACCAACATTACGACATACTTAAATTGTGCCAAGCAGTGGTCATCTTGCATCAATTCTCCTCGCTGGCATCTTCGGAACCCGACGTCTCTGTTGGTTTCTAGTTTGGTTTCTGGACATCTCTCGCCATACTTTGTCGACATTCTGCTCAACCATAATTATCTTCATCTATAAACATTCAATTCCGGCGGGTTTCGATGCGACGAGACGTACATTTTGCTGTCTGTCTATGGTAATCATTGAAATTCCAAGTTGGTAGCGCCATCAGTGATGTCTCATTTGTTGAGTTCCTAGACGGGGTGAAGTGGTCTGCCACTTACTGGGCACGCTAAAGTAAAAGTGAATTTTTGTGATAATTTAAATCTGGCACAGTAAACACGCCTTTTGAGGTCATTTATAATACCGAAGATGTGTATAAATGTAGAAGCAAATTTGTTTTCTTTGCCAATACCTTACACTCACTTTATCAAGCAAGAGAGCAGGAACTTGAAGCAATTTAAGGCTGTTTTAAGAAGTCTTCAGCCCGAATGTCCTCATTGGTTGGGTTGAGTGTTAGTTTCAAATAAGCTGAAAATCAATCAGAAGTAACCAAAAAGTATAAAGTTAGATCTTCCGTTCTTACCGTGTCATTTTCAGCATGAGAGACCCGAGAACGGATTTCTTTTCGCACTGGTTCAACTAGAGAATAACAGAGAATGTCGTTGTGTATGTAGACTAAAAATTAGCAAATTGTGTTTGGTGCTCATGGCCAAATTTTCAGCAGTGAAATCGGGTCTGATAAGCTATTTTTATAATTTGAAGGAAACACACCATCGATTGCAATAATTATTTCTAATAATGGAAAAATGTACCACAAAAATCCCGATGATAAAATGTTCTGCCTCCTCAGTTGCAAAGCATTCCAGTTCCTTAAATACCGCATAAGAACATAGGATTATTTAGTACGGTAATCAAATATGTACACATAAAATAGAATGATGTAGTGATTCACAACCCTTTCTACGTAAAATGGTGAATCTTCGATCAGAATAATTTTGGTGCGCAACGAATTTCTACACAAGGTCGTCGAGGGTAAACCCCGTCAATTTATATGAATCCAGATCTGAACAATTATATTATGGCTGACTTGAAAACACTAACCTTTTGTACAAAAACCTAAAAGCCAAAACACGTGGTGAGTTATGATCATTAAGTCCCACAGGACAAGGGGTGACCTGTTTTAAAGTATTTACATGGCTCCAGCAAAGCTTCGATGAACGACTATACTGATTTAAACAACTCCCCTACATTTGGTGTACGAAATTATTCCCGAGTTGATAGCCTGTACAGACGTTTTGTTCAAATAATCCTAAAATTACTTGGACAAACACACTGATATTACTGTTTCACAAGCTGTCTTGGAATAGCCACTTTGAGGAGGTACCCAGAGAGCGAATTTGACGTTTCGCACTTTCACTAGCGCACACGCCACCTCATTTTTTTGACACCAGTTGCATCCACTTCAGTGTTTCCTTTTTGAACTGTGCATCTGCCAAGTCCTAAAAAAGAATCTAGAGCATGTGGTTCCAAATGTGGGCCTGAATGCAATGGGCCTACTGTGAATTTCATAGGTGGCTTTATTTCTTGTGTCCGCAATATTTCACCTTTCCATACGTTAAAAGTGCAAAATACTCTCAGCACCTCCACTTCCAAGGCCACTATTTTGACATGAAACAAGAAGACGGAACAGCTCCCCTACTCCGTTTGGATGAAATGTGTGTTTGGATGCTCCGACCGAGAAGTTCTGTCGCATCATCTTTTCGGCTGTGACGTTGGCGAAGGGTGGTGGGTAGTCTCGGAACTTACATTAACCTTCCAAATGCAGTTCACTGTCTACAAGAGCCATAAATTTGCTACCATCCAAATTAAGTTAGAAATGTTTCAAGACACCAGTATCTTGGCAATCGCATTCTATTGGTAACTATCTCCATCACGGTAGATATTGGTTCAACATATTGGTACTAAACTGGTCTAGAAAAGAGGAGGTAGAGAAGGAAAGCTTAAGGAAACAAACCTCGATTCCTAATGAAAGCGCTGGAGGGTGAGTAGCCTATACTTCTGGATATCACTCAATTTAATGGGTCTGAGCATCATATTGGAGTAGGGTGGGAATGCTCAGGCATCCTTCGTGAACTCAAAGCCATCCAATCCAAATGAAAGACAATAGAACTTCAGCATGACATATGAGCTAGAAAGCGATATCATGCACGCTCCTTTCGAGCCAATGCGTTGCTGTCACACAGGATTTCCAACCATATAAACGAAGAATCACCTTAACCCGAACTGGGAAATCTTCATCACCCCACAGCTACCCACTTTTAGGATAGAAGAGACTAATTTTTTCAAATCACATGGCTTTAGGATCAGATAATACTCTGGTGCCATGAATAAACCACGTTAGTGAAAGCCACACACGCCCTGGTAACACGAGCGTAGCATTCATTTGTGGCGGCACAA